CATGCGTCAATCAAAATAGCTCCACCTCCCAGTGTTCCCTCCTCCTCCTCCTTCACAATTTTCCCCCAGACGTCACGGATGTTCTCAGCGGCTTCCGAGTTCGTCATGTTGAATTCATGTAGACAGTACAATCGTTTTGGGCACCTGCACAATTAAAGTTGTCTTTGGATCGCATGTTAGATGCTTTAATAATGGAATTCTGTGTCTGTGCATTTAATTGTAAGTGTTATTTCTCCCTCCAGCGACTTTGCTTGTCTTCGTCCACCCCCTCTTTTCACCCCCTCCTATCTCTTTTCTCCTCTTCTTTCCATCTCACATTCACACGTACACACGTTTTTAATGGAGCATCACAACTCCTGCTGCACTCGATGGATGGTATTCACAGAGAGCCTCTTTCATCCAGCAACATTTGGCTGAGCTTCGATATGAATGCTTATGAAGATCATATTCCTCTATAATTGTCCCTTGTCAATCCTCGAGTCCCTGCTCGCATTCACATTGAGCTGTCAAGAGCATCCTAAGAGTGTAAATGTATATCTGTACTGTATACAATGAAGTATATCTTTTTGTATGCTTCTGTTTAGCCTTTTTAGGTACAATTACTGCTGTGCAAATGGTAAACACTTGTTCCCTACTTAGCAAGTTGATGATAACTCCTGATGATTAGATTGAGATTAGGGTTTCTTTCCTCAACACCTCCCCACAGCACTGGCAAGCATTGAGTTTTAATAAGACCTGAATTCTCTGCATAATTAGCAGGACGAGTCATGGTTATTCTTTGAAAGCATTGAAAATAAATGCCATGGCCCATGACTTAAGACTCCAATGCTATATAATATTAAATATCATATAAAATCCTATTTTTATTTTATTATAATATATTATACTATATAATATTATTAGTACAATTTATTATATTCTACTATAATATTGTATAATATATTGTACTGTAATATAATATAATACATTGTAATATAATATAGCAACAATTATATTATAGTTTTTTCTTCACACTTTCTGTTTTACTTATGAACATTAAGTTTATTATTATTATTAATTTTTGTCTCCTCCACACTTTTGCCCCCACCACAGTGTCAAATTATGTATTCTATGTGGAATTGGGTATTTAAACACTTTCAGAATAAAATGACCTTGACTACTTTCATAGAGAAACATGTATTTTGAAATTTTAGGTTTTTAGGTCTTTTTTTTTACAAAAAAACCAAACAGTTAATGGGACCTTTAGATGGGACCCCCAAAATAAATATCCTACCCTATGACCTATATGCTTGAAGTTGAAGAAACGGAGATCATGAAATGGAAAGTTAGAAATTAGCTAACAGTTGGAAAATGTCAAGAGAAGTTTTATGTAGCCTTATTTAGTTTAACGGACCTCTGGTTGGCAACCCTGGGACGAATGCATTCCCACCTCCAATGTGACTTCACAGTAAAAAGGGCAGGTTTTCCACAAATATGGGTTGAAGCAATGGTCCAGTGGGTGTTAGATTACAGAAAGCATGTCAAAGAGTTTGCTAGCCTCTGCCTGCTCTTGCTTTGAACCCTTCGTCCATCACAGACAGGTGGAGTTAGCCCAATCATCTGGGACTTTAAGCTTATAGCTCTCTCCCTCTGAGCCTCACACAGTTCTGCTTAAATGGGATTTCAGCTGCATCCTATGCCGCTCTACTGATCTCACATCCAAGCCTGGAGCTCTCACTGATGGTGGGTCAACGGCGCTGTTCGTGGTGCTGATATTTGCTGGCTTCTGTCCGTGGTGCTGAAAGGACAGCAGGCTTCTCTGCCATAGCAGTGGGCTGCCGTCTCCCTCGTGGCTAGTCGCGTACCTCAATTATCTCCTCGTATGGACCGAGCGCTCAGAAGTCGAAAACGCACAATCTGAACCATCCATTTGCTAGCCATCTGCCATTACTGCTTAGTGCAGCCCCGGATGCTGTTCTGCAGCTACAAAAGGGGGCAGATTCTTTCCGGAACTGCCACTTCGTGTGGGTTGGTGACGGAGGAGGACTCTGTTTTTAATCATGTCGATTTGATTTGGCTAATTATAAGAAACATCAAGAGGAAATAATGCGAGGCAGAACTGAGATGCTTAATTGAATATGAATGTGCTAATTCAAGTGTGATCTTTAAATATAAGCTTGACAAAAGATGCTCATGTATTCAGGGGGCGTTTTGTTGCGTATGTGCTAATTGTACATTCACGCCACGGACTCACTCCCTAAAGTGCCCTCAGTGCATCCTTATGCTGTCCATTACTCTCCAATGTAAGAGCAGAAAGCATGGCTAATTCTATTTGGTGCTAGCTCAGATAGCACACTGACCTGGGAACTGGGGTTTGATCAGCAAGTGTTGAGTGCTTAAATCTGCCCTAATACATGGTTAAAGGAGTAGATCTCTGTTCAGAGTGGGTTTTCTCACTGTCATGAGTGAACAGGAACATGCCAAATGCTTTGTCAGGGCCGCCTCTCCTGCTCTCTTCATTGTTATGCACTGTGCTGTAGTCATGCATCACGCTCAAGGGCAGATTATGACCTTAATGACAATGACCGTACAGAGAGAAAAGAGGAGAGCTTTCTATTTGGATTTCCAACCTGCATATGTTTACTGAGACACTTTCAGTTACAAATGAGAATGCCGCGCACCCGAAGCATGTTGACATGTGCTGATGTAGGCGAGATGAGGTAATTTTAAGAGAGACTACATTCATGTCATTTTGTTTCTTATAGACAAAGTCACTGTCACTTCCAGAGCCATGCATGCAGAAGCAGCGCAAAAGGATCTTTCTGCAGGGAGAACAGTCTTGTCTGCCACGTTAAAGCGGAATTTCATGGCCGATATATTTGGAATGGCAAAGGATTGAGTGTTACAGGAGCCAATTTGATCTAAATTGGACTACTTTTCATTCCAATTATGCTTCATATTTCTTCTCTTCCCTCATGTCCCCATGTGTGCTTTGCACGTTGGCTTTATTGCACAGTGCCACGCGCTGTATGGAAAAGCTATTAAGACATTTAGTCACTAATCCTTTGACAAACATAAGAGAACATAATCTTTCACAAGACCTTTTTGAAGATTTTCCACAGATTCCATGCCGTTGTTAGCCTTTCAAAACAGGCCTTTTAATTTATCTCCAACACTTCATCGTTTTTTCACGTCTGCTATTTGCAGAGAACGACCCAATAGACCCCTCTATTTTTCTCATGCTCTTTCACCAACGAACAGAGAGCATTCTTTAAGGCCAGGTTTCAAAAGGCAGAAAGGCTGTTATCACCTTCAAGGTCTTTTGAGAAGTCCTCTTGTGCACGATCACAGTAATTAATTAGAAGCAAATGAGAAATTAAGCTCGCATTTTGTGTGATCAAATTAATTTTTCTCTGCTTGCGGAGTGCATATTGCTTCAATATCATCTCTTCCGCCATGCAAGCACCTTTATTTATGGATGCTGATGAGGCCAGAGGAACAGAAATGACCCCAGAGTTCTGCTCGGCACCTTGCTGCACGGTGATCTGTTTTCCAGGGCCAAAATTACTGAACAGTTGCGCCACATTTGTGCAGGTTAATTCATTTTAAAAACCTTTGTCTTATTCGCTTCACTTTCAACTGGGTAAAGGATTTACTGAAATAGTGCTGCGGCTTGAGTATTTCAATGAAGTAATTGTCATTTATTTATATATATATATATACATAGCATAATTCTTTTTAAATATAATTTATTATAATCATTGTATGGTTCAATTAGAATTTTTTCCATTTATACTATATTCACAAACAATTGTGAAAAATTTGCCTCAAATAACATCAAACTATTCCATGGAAAGAAAGCATTAAACAAAATTATTAAAAGAGCTGTTTGTTTTATTTTGACCATGGCAGCAATAATTCATTCACTGAAATAGTGCTGAGCACTGGGTATTTTAATTAAGTCGTTCGTCATCCTATATAAATTAGACAATGATGGTGATGTTTGTTTATGATAATAATAACATTTTTTAAATGTTAAATTGTTTATAAATGTATACTACTGTATATTCACAAAACTTTAAACTTGCCTCAATTTACATTAATCTATTCCACAGAAAGCAACCATTAATCAAAATTATTAAAAAGAGCTGTTTGTGTTTTCACTTGACCATGACAGTAATAATTGATCAAATGATGATTACATGATGGAGATGAGCATTATTGGAAGAGACTCTGGATATATGACTGGTTATACTGTATGCAGTGGAATTCTTAATGTGTGCCATATATTGAAGTTGTCTGCTGCAGCCTCCACTGCCTAGCACTCAAAACTAATCCGCAAGTGCAGACGTTAATGTTGATTTGCTGTGACCATTGAGCAGTTATCACTGTTTTGCATATTCCCTTTAATGAATTCTGCACGCATACAGTCCACACAAATTATAAAAGGAGAATGATGTGATCATGCTGGTGCATACTCCTCATTAATAAACATACATTTACACTCCTCACCTGATGTCCATAGTACGTTCACATTCTGTCTTATCTGTCATCCTCTCTGTTTCAGGCTCCGTTGTCAGATGCAGTAACTACTATGCTCTGCCACTATTATGGGTGAAAGAGAGAGGTGTTGATTGACTGAGAGGGCTTTGGGGGGCTCAGAGCTGTTTAAAACACTAGCTGTGAGCTGGTTTGTGAATATTCATCTGTGAACCGATCAGCAAATTTGCAAAGCGAATGAGGAGATCTGTCAACTAGCCCAGTCTGTTACACTGCAAAGTGCATTAAAGATTGATTTCATTATGCTCAAAGATTCTCAGCTGAGGGAATCACACTGCCAGGTCTTGGTTTTGTGATCAAACTGGCTTCCTAATGGAAATTTACAATAAAAAGCCAGAAATTATTGTAATTTGATGCGAGTCATAGACAAAATTTAGGGGTGCATGCGAGTTTGTAATCAGTGGTCAGCGTTCATGTTTTGAACACAAATTAACATGTCTGTTTTTATTTTTAACTTTCAGAGACCTGGTCAAGGAAGATTTCTGATGGTGACATCTTGCCGGTGGAATGCAGACGCACATTTCTAAAAGGAGCTGAGGTTTTCTGGGGAAAATAAATCATGCATTTGACCTACTACCCACAAAACGCAAAATACAACCGCAGCAGTAATCCTACTTTCACCAGGGGGTGAGATACAAAAATCTGCCTTTTAACATGTCGAGTCAACTAGATTTTTAGGGCAGTTTTAGATTTCAAAGCACTAAGTACCGTGTGAGTTTTTTTTTTTTTTTTTTTTTTTACATGGGCTTTCAGAAGTGTTCCTCAATGGAGTTCCTCAGTGGAGAATCAAGATGGAGAATCAAGTGAAAAGAAATCCTTAAATACTAGGCTTTTTTTTTTTTTTTTAACTGGGACCTTACTATTTATGCAGTGCTATTTTGGAGAAGGCCAGATAAATTAATACGCTAGACTGGGAATAAATCTCTCCTCTGCAGTGGATTAAGAGAAACAGAACATTAGGAAAAAGAGGATTAGGAGCACGCTTGGAAGATGATGACGCGGAAGTGGAGGTGCGGCGCGAAGTTATCGCAAGCATCCGTTTGGCTGGGACTCGTGGTGGCTGTTGCAGTCACCACAGCACTAGAGTTTGACGGCCTGCCGGGCCAGTGGGTTCGCTATGGACCCTGGGAGGCGAGAGCCACTGGAGAGCTGAGCTTCACCATGAAGACAAACATCAGCAAAGCTATAGTGCTATACCTGGACGATGGCGGTAACTGTGACTTCCTGGAGCTCCTGATCAACGACGGCCGGCTGCAGTTGCGCTTCGCCATCCACTGTGGCGAGCCGGCCTCGTTGCACATGGAGACGCACGTCAACGACGAGCGCTGGCACCGTGTGCTGCTAACAAGGAATTACCGTGAGACCATGCTGGTGATGGATGGGGAGAGCAAAGTGGCGGAGGTGAAGTCAAAACGAAGGGAGATGATGGTGGCCAGCGACTTGTACGTGGGCGGGATCCCACCGGATGTGCGTCTCTCGGCCCTCACGTCCAGCACGGTCAAATATGAACCACCTTTCCGAGGCCTGATCGCCAACCTGAAGTTAGGCGAGACGACTCCTGCCCTTCTGGACAGTCAGGGGGTGAAGAACGATCTGGAATACCTGTGTACCAAACAAAACCCCTGCAGCAACGGAGGACGCTGCTCCATTCACGACAGCGAGGTGCTGTGCGATTGCTCCAATACCGGCTACAAAGGGAAATACTGCACTGAAGGTAAGCAAGATGATGTGCTCAAGGCCTTACATAACATGAAGATGTTCTTATCATGTCAAGGTAAAATGTTTGCTTTTAAGGAACTCAAGGGCTCAAGAGTTGGAAATTATGAACCATTATCTGATCCGGCCTGCCTGTTTTCTAATCGTTTGGTTGAGTGTTTGTCTTATGGTGTTCCTCTGCACTTAATCTACAGTTTGTCTGCAAAAATATTTGCAATATCTGAAAGTAGACCGGTGTAAGTGCATGAGAATGTTGAAACTTATGAAAAGGATACAATCATGTGTTTAAAGGAATAGCTTTGGAAATCAGTAAATTGGTTAAAAATGGCATCAGGGTGAATATTATTATTTAGAAAAATAAATACATTTCTTTCTTCGTTGGAACATAAAAGGAAACATTTTGAATAATGTTCTGGTCGCCCTTTTCTATGCAGTTACATTGAATAGGGTTATAAAGATTTCAAGCTTCAAAAAGGATGCAAAAGCAGCTTAAAAGTGGTCCATGTGAAGTCTTCTGAATTTATTTTGTGATCTAAACAGACTGAAATTAACCCTCTGGGGACCAAGAACGCACCCGTGCGTTTTGGCAGATTTTTTTTCACATAGCAGAAAAATAGACTTAACTTACTCCATCATTTCTGGTCATACAGAGTTATGAAACATATTTTAAAAAACTGTTAAATGTCTACTTTTTTATGTGTCCACCTACAATCGAAATAAAATATTGTGCTTTTGTAAAATAAAGAAAATAAACAGGGTGTGCGTTCTGCCTCTCCGTGTCCGTGAACTTTTTTTCTGGAGCACATCTCTAAACTTAAAAAAAACTCAGCTAATACTATTCACCCAGACATAAGCAATATATGTTTATGATCATTGAAGTTTGTACTTTTACATTATCTAATTTAAAACTAAAATAAATATTCCCTGTTTATGTAATCTATATAAAAAGAGAGATGTGTCAGCCATTCTCATTATCGTTCTTGCATCTCATTATTCCGGTAATGTGACACGCCCACGGAGAGCGCGCGCTATTCAAACGCTAATGATCTGAAGCAACACATTGAGACATGTAAAACGCCCATATAAACTCTGTAAACACACTTTATTTAGTCAGATTAATGTACTGTCGTCTTGCGCGCCTGTGAGGAATAATCCTGGGACATTTACCTACCTCAGAACAAGTGCTGGTTTATTTTCACTTCGAGGAGCGAGCTGAACTGTAAGTGTTTTATTCTTGTGCTTTGTTCTAATCGCGATATATAATAACGTTAGTGTCTGTAAACGCAAAAATAGCCTACTGTTTAAATTTGAATCATGTTTCTGTGTGTGTGTGTGTGTGTTTGACTAGTTTAGGATAGATTATAAAGTTTTAACTCTAAAATAGACATCAAATAAGCTTTTGTTAGCAGTTTCTGCTCATATGTTAAATATATAGTACGTTTTGTCAAAAATAAACTTATCAACTGTTATAGTGTTTGTTCCAGCTAGGGTATATCAAAATAATGAATCCTTAACTTTGAAATATGTATAATAAAAAATGTATTGGCATACTTTAAAAAATAATACTTTATAAGAGATTTATGGAAAAAGACAATTTTCTTTTCAAGATGTTTCCAACTCTAACTTTGAACCAATTCTATTGAATTGAGTAGTTCTGACAGTTGAGTAGGCCCATATAACCTATTTGAACAGGATTTGTTTCCAGGTATGACTAAAAATGTGCTTTTGACTTTCATTTATATTTTGATTATATATTTATATATGTATATATATATATATATATATATATATATATATATATATATATATATTAGGGGTGTAACGGTTCACAAAATTCACGGTTCGGTTCGATACGATACACTTGTGTCACGGTTCGGTACGATTCGGTACGTTTCCGATACAGCAAAAAGAAAGAAATGCCAGAGAAATTTCCTTGATTTAATCTTTTTAATTATATTTTTATTAAAACTAACATCATAAAGTATGATATTTTTTAACTTTGAGCAATGATGGAGCTATACTTGACTTTTCTTAGGAGCTTATAAAACAAAACAGCTCCTTGGACAAAATTAAATGTAATATTGTAGTAGTTATAAACAAAGGTTTATTTTAGTTCAGATTAACATTTGAGGGCAGCAATTGTATTCATAATGTCAAAATAAAACCGACGTGATGTTACTTGAAAGCATTATAGCCTACTATTCCTGCCAAACTTCCATGGTTACTAGGGGTGGAACGGTACACAGAAGTCACGGTTCGGTTCATACCTCGGTTCAGACATCACGGTTCGGTACGATTTCGGTACAATGGAGGGAAAAGCAAAACAAAAATGCAGAAGATATTGTATTTTTTAAATAAGTTTTTTTAATAAAGACATAGAACCAGTTTATTTGTAGTGCACTGACAATAGTTTTATATAATTAGTTTATTAATTAAATTAATAAAAAGACAAAAAGACCTTGCGATATGTTTGGTAATTGTACCTGAATTAATTTAAAATTATTTTGCTATATTTCAGATCAATATATTTGTTTTCCTTAATTTTAATTAACATTATTAATTGACAATGTAAAATTATTCTCTTCTGAATTATAAATAATTGATTTCTGTATAAAATAATATACCATTAAAAACACATTCGATTTTCTTTTTTTAATGAATGTAGAATGTGTAAGATTGGTGCTCCGAGGACAAGAAATGGAAACCAATGCAATATGACGAATGCCCAAAAGATGGGACCCACAGACCATTTTGAAATGGAGTTGGATAAATATGTTTTGCTTTTAAAACAGTGTGTGTGTGTGATTTTGGTTGGGTGACAGTTGTAGGTTACAGTTTGACAAGAGTTTACAGTGTGACAAAAGCACAGTGTTGTGTTTTATTGCGAGTGTACACAAATATAAGTAAACACTTTGCAGGTTTAATGATCTGAACAAAATGACGGAGTATGTTTTTTATGTTCCCACTATGTTCGATCGCGTCTCTCTCTCTCTCTCTCTCTCTCTCTCTCTCTCTCTCTCTCTCTCTCTCTCTCTCTCTCTCTCTCTCTCTCTCTCTCTCTCTCTCTCTCTCTCTCTCTCTCTCTCTCTCTCTCTCTCTCTCTCTCTCTCTCTCTCTCTCTCTCTCTCTCTCTCTCTCTCTCTCTCTCTCTCTAGCATTGCAATCTTGACATCGCTGCCTGTTCATTATGCGGTCACGGTCACACCAAACGCGAATAGAGCGTCAAATTCGCGTCTAGTTCGACGCTAGTCCACAGCGAATAGGACGCGCGTATAAAGCCAATGTTTGAAGTGAACGCGCGTTCAGAGCTAAGCCGATGGTACAGATTATGTGTCCCTAAAGAACCCGCGTATCTAACAGTAGTTCCGCATTACATTAATTAATTTGCACGCGAGTTTTATTTATTTTTATACCGTGTATTCTCCGTGTAAATTCGTGCACCGAACCGTGACCCCCGTACCGTTTCGGTTCGATACGAATACATGTACCGTTCCACCCCTAATGGTTACAGTTAGTAGTGTTACTACAGTAAACCCATGGTGAATGTTGCTGATCTGTGGACACTGGATAGTTCATTCATGGCACAATGTTTCTTCCTGGTTTCCACGTCAGCGCTGTTTGATCCGTTAATAACGGAGAAATGCGAATGTTTCTCACTAGATCTTGCAGCGATGTTATTACTTCAGTGGCGAATTCAAATGCTTTCTTTACTGGATTTGGCTGTGTAGTAACAGTGCTGATGATTAAGATCGGCTCGCGCTGTATTTGTCCAAACTGATAAACGGTCCTTCAACCACACAATAACGAGTGGTTTCGTTCCGCTTACATTACATTTGCCATTTGATGTTGGGCAATGTTGTGGTCACGCACATTATGAGCGCGCTTGCCACGCGTGACGCGCCTTCATTTGAAATAACGAAATTTTGGTCGGCAGGAAAAATGGTCCAACTTCAAAAATGCGTACCGAAAACCGAACCGAAAGCCTCGTACCGAACGGTTCTATACGAATACGTGTATCGTTACACCCCTAATATATATATATATAATGTCTATGTGTGTGTGTATATATGTATATATATATTTTCCTTGCATTCTTTCTTGTGACACACCTGAATGAAATGAATGCGTCTTTGTCTTCTCAGGTGAGAATCAGGGGGGTTGGGCCGTTCGCATATTGCCTTTCAAACAAAGAAATGTTTTTCACAATTTAAAGCAATCTATGGTGTTATGTGAATGATTAGAAAGGATGATTTTCAGATCATTTTGAAGCAAATACTCTAGGCCACAACTTCCATTAGTCAAAAGTCTTGTGGACACATATTTAGTATGTGTTTTGTGGCCTTATTTCAGAAACTTTAATTTTTAGTTTTATCAATAAAGATGCATAAACAATATTCTCTCAAAAATACAAACATGTACATACATGTTGCTTACATATTATGGTAGCCCTGTTTGTGCTAAATAGTGTAATTTCACCTGTGCCAGTAATATGTTTATAAGCAACTGAAAAAAGCACAAATGTCAGGGCATGTCAAAACATCTCAAGGACCCAAAAAACACCTTGGTCCCCAGAGGGTTAAGACTATATACTTTGATAATCTTCTTCTCCAGTGAACTGTTATCCACTGTGACTGTGTGACCTGATCAGTGAACCAGTGAGTTGAAGTTTAGGTCTGTTCCTCACACAGAACTATTGTATGAATTCAGAAGACTAGTAATGTAGCACGCAAGTCGGATGGACCACTTCTATGCTTTTATGGTGCTTTTTTTTGTTATTTTGGTGCTTGACAACCCCAGTCCAATTTCACATTTGTTATATTGACAAGAGTGCCCAGGATGTTCTTTAAAAAAAATCACCTTTTGCATTACACAGAAGAGAAAGTCATACAGCATTGGAATGACGAGGGTGAGTGTAAAAATATTTTTTAGATGAACCCTTCCTTTAAAGTCGTGATGAAATGAAAGTGGCGACAGACGACAGATCTTTTCTTCTGTAAT